GCATACCATTCGATAGACAAGGAAAAAGTAATAAACTTAGACTCAAAAACCACTTGATTAGGAGTCGAGACGAAAAAGATATGAAATGTCAAAGTTTCAAAAAATCCAACTTTCTAGATTTCAAATCTGTGCAAGGCCTACACAGATTTTTGGATTTCAAATATGGTTTCCTGAAAAAAGCTACACACCAGATTTTCCCAGATCTGTGAGCCGTTATCAGCACTAAAACATTTTTTTTTGTAAAAACACGAAGAAGAAACCCACCTTAAAATCACATTTTCTACCCGGCCATGCAAAATAAAACGAAAAAAACACACTGTGAAATACCCAAAATGCCCCTAAATCAGAAAAGGTCAAAAACTCAAAAAAATGCAACTTTGCACCAAGTATGCATTTGACCCTAAATACATTTCTAGGCTAAAACGAATATGCACGCAAGCATAATAAATGATTTCAAGTGCGCAGGAATGGTCCACGGCTCCCAAGAAGACCCGATGCAAAATTCGACCCCCTGACGGCCAAAAAAGGTGAAAATGCACATGAATAGGAAATTTTGAAACTTAAAATTATAAAATGGTTTCAAATTACTGTTTGGCCCTTGGTCACACTTTATGCATGATTAATGAGACCCTATGGAAGAATAAAAATGAAATTCCCACATCCGATGCAAACATGGTGAGGCAATGACTTGTCATTTTTCTATTTTTTTCATAATAAACCTTGAAAGTGAAAATGCATAAAATACAAATTAGATGTCATTGGTCTATGGCCTCATCTCATACATATTAAATAAAGGACAAATAATGAATTTTATACCCAAAACACACTCCGGTTCAAAAATGACATACTAAGACAATGATTTTCATATTATTCACATTAAAGGCCAATTTCAACATATATCAATAAACATGGATTCCAAATAAAGTTTGGCCTTTGGCCACATATCATATATATATAATGAGTATCAAAAAGTGTGTTTAGGCACACATTACAAGTCTCAAGGTAAAAATGACATTTTTAACCTAACTATACTTTACAACTTGAAAAGTAAAACTTAAGCATGCTAACACTTGCATGTGAACAAGAATACATTTAAAAGAACTTCAATCCAACGAAATGACCTAGGGATATTATGCTTCCTGAATCAAGGTATCCGTACTTGAAAATAGCCCAATAACTTTGGAGTGAGTAAATAAGTTACTCGTAGGAGATGAGAATGCATAGACCTAACATTTTACTGTTCATTAAATTGATATAAATCAATATATAACCACCTAACGCCTATGTCCAAGGTGAGACTCAGGGAGCATCCTAAGCTACCTTAAAACATTTTTAGCATAAACCACATCATTCATGTAATTTAGGCAATAAAGAAACATGCAGTACACGTAATAAGATATTCAATATACAAAGATACATACACAAGTATACAATCAATATTGAAATGCACTTAAGACAAGTATACAAGACATAAGTATATTAGGTTATCTAGAAAGTAAATCATCAATATACAAGTGCACATCCCAAGTGCGCTAAGCAATATTGAAATAGAATACAACATATATATTCAAGTATACATTTCTAAGTATATTAAGCAATGTTGACATACATGGTATACAATTATACAAATCCAAGTATACAAAGTATTTTTGGTATACAAGGCGTACAAGTATACAAATACAAGTATACTAAGCAAGAATGAAGTACCATGCATCCAAGCACAAGTTAAAAGTAATTCACAATTACAACTAGGAATTGAATGTGAAATTAACCAATGAAAAAAAGACAAAGGACATATGGTCTCAATGACCAAACAAGTGATCTTGGGTTAATAGCGTGCAAGGAACTACCTAGTGCGCACTATATGTTGTAGAGGGAACTTTCATCCCCCGTACTAGAGACATACTCTAGCCTTAACATATTGCAATGTCCATACAAGCTTTCTAAAAATCATCAAGTTGTGCAACAAGTATATCACATATACATAATGTACATTATCAATTACCATGCACAACCAAGTCATGGAATACACACAAGATATGCTCTAGGCCTTCAAGCTACAATGGCATATTAAATGTCATATAAGTATAATGTGTATACAACAAGTTAAATCATAACTTCTACTCACGGAATACCATCTTGAAATCATACACCAAGTTGCAAATTATAAATTAAGGAAGAATATAACATCAATACTTAATTACCTCAATGAAAGCATACAAATTGAACTTAATTAAATTAAATAATTAAATTCTCAAGATTACAAAGCAACTCCAAAAATTCTAAATATAATATATGTCAAAGGTCATAGCAAGGCCTAATTTAATTTCAAGTTACAAGACAATTCTACCTTAGTTACAACAAGGTAAATTAAGATCAATGCCAAGAAAATAATTAAATAAATTTCTCAAAACTCATTCAAATATTCTCTATTTAATATATATGAAAGAACTTGCCAAGATAATCAACAATATCTAGTTAGAAACTCAAACAAGTCACTGGAGCAATTAAATAAAAATAATTAAATTAAAATGATTAAATCTCTAGATTTTAAAACTACTCCGATTAACTTCATATTAAGGCAAGTTAATGAACAAATCATGGCTTTCAAGAATTTCATGTCCTAGCTTATTTTCTTGCAAGGTATAATAACTTATTAATTTAAAAATTAAGTAAAAGACATGTAAACAATTTATAGTAGGCCACAAAAACAATTAAAACACCTAGATTAAAAATATAAATCACCCTCCACCTCACAAGAGGATTATTCCTTTTGAATCCAAAGCAAACAAACGAATTTTACAATTTCCTTCAAGGGTTATATAGAGGAAGGTGAGGCAAGTATTATGTGTTCTAAGCTTTTTAGTCAAAGGTGAGTGGAAGGAGATCAAAACCAAGGTTTTAAGCATAGGTTAATGGTTTCCTTCAATGGTGTCAAAGGTTTTATGTAAGGATGATAATGAAATTAAAATGATGTAAAAATGAAATATTAATTCCCTTTGGTGTAATCCTCCACTCACTTGTTCAACGCAAGTCAATTACACCTAGTCTTGCACCATGCCAACACGCACACAAAAACTAGACTTTAATTAGGAGCCTACACTTGTCATTAATTCAATGGTTCATTCTAGGCTTAATCTAAAGCCTACACTTGTCAATAATCCAAGCCAACAAGTGCACCAATGCTAGGCCAACAAGTGGGTGAATCTCCACCCTTCACATGTCATCATTCAAGGCTTCCAAGTATTAACCAATGAGATCCTTACAAGTGGCCCAATGAGAGTGCGACACTTATCACACTTTTTGGTAATTACAAAAAGGTCCTTTTTGAAAATATCGACCAACAAAATTGCAAAAGGTAACAAAAATGAAAAATAGTTATTTTGCATAATTACAAAAACAACCCCTATTTATAGTAAAACCTTAAAAGTGCCCCGAAATGGCCCCACCGGGTCCGAAAAATTGGAATTTGCCAAACGCACTCAAACGGTAAAACACCAGGAATGAAAAAGAACCAAAGTGAAAAAAAATAAATAACAGAAGAAGCGGTGTCGAAAACTGAGTACCGCGCAAGAAGATATGCCTCACACAAGTTCAGCGGCAATCGGGTCCAAAAACCGTAAAACTAGGGAAAACAACCAGAAGGAAATTCTAAGAGTTCCTGACTTGACGAAATGGGAAAATGAATCCCGTAGGTTGATCCAAGCTCAAAATAAAGCACTTTGCAATAACTTTTGTTAATTGCACAATGGCCCCTCCAAGAAAGGATAACTGCAAAACTGCCAAGAATGAAAATATCTTCCAAAAGATATTTTCTTAAAAACCCCTAAAATAAATATCTTCAAAAGATATTTACGAAAAACATCTCATGTGACAACCCAGATTTTTTTTAAGAGTTTAAATTTAATTTTTATTCCATGATTTTTAGTTGTCAAAAAAATTGACTATTTAATTTTTATTAGAGATTTACCCAATTGAATTTATTTAATAGGTTGATTAGATTTACCCACACTTATGGATTTTAATGGGTTTTTAGTTTTGTATGCAATTGTGTGTGTGTATATATATATATTTTTGCATCTTGTATGTGGAGAAGGGTTACCAGGCGAATGAGAAAAGGTTGGTTTTGGTGATTTTTTCGTAGGCCCAGTGGAGTTAATTAATGGGTTTGATTTTTGACACAAGGTTTATATATATATATATATATTGTATCAGTTTGAGATAGAAGGAAAGCAGGTTCCGAAATTATGGGGAAAAGAAATGGAAATGAGTTCTTATGGAAAAGCAGGTTCCATTAAAAATCAAACCACCTTTCTTTTCTCCCAAGTCGGCAAACCTTCCCACCTTCCTATATATATATATATATATATATATATTGTATCAGTTTGAGATAGAAGGAAAGCAGGTTCAGAAATTATGGGGAAAAGAAATGGAAATGAGTTCTTATGGGGTCCACCACTTGAATGTTATTTATGTAGTAAATTTGGTGGAGTTTGACACTATTCACGTTCTCATATGTTGGGTAAGATTATATTCTTTGTGTATGGAAATAATAGAATAAGAGAATTGAAATTGGTGATGATAGCTTCTTTTGTTGCGGGTCCCATTGGGATATTTTTTAGGCCAAAATCCATTTTGGCTATAGCAGTCACGTGTGGGCTGTTTATATGATGAGGGGAGTTATATTGTTGTATATGGAAAGTGAAGAAAAGATAAGAAATAAAATGATGATGGACGGGCCCACAGCTAGGAAATTGTTTGGCTAAATTCACTTTTTGGCTTTGATTTTTCTGCACATAACTTTGTGTACGTGGGCTGATAAGATGAAGATAGAATATAAAATGATGACTTTTAAGCATTTTGTATTTGCTTTTGTGTGGTGGACTGTCAGCCGAAAGTAGGCTTGTTTGGAAAGAGATTGGTATTATGATAATATCTTTGGTGAGCTGTTTTGCATGTGTCGGTGGATTGCCTATTTATATCGGTATCAGTTTGTGAGTTTGAGAATGATACAAAGAAAAGAATTAGAGATGGAGAGAGACGTAGTGTCAAGATTTTATGTACACAGACACAGTGATGAGGCCAGGATTGTTAGATGACAGAGAGGGCCAAAGATTGTTGCTCAAATGAATTTTTATTTTACAGTGTAGGGATCATCATACCTTGAATGGCTTAGATGATTTTATTTCAAATATTTTGTTGATTATTATTTTGCTAAAATTGCATATATGTATTTTGTTTAAAAGCATATATATATTTTTGTGAAGCAAATTTATCATGAAACTCTTTGAAATCATTGTTATGATTTTTCCTACTGTTTCACCCCCCCTACAGTTTCAGGTACCGAGGATAAGCTTGGATTACAAGTTGCGGGATTAGGTGGAAGAGTTGGAGTTGAGGAATTAAATTATTTTATTTAGAGATTTTTATATATTTATTTGAGGAAATTGATTTAGTATCAATTTAATTATTTGGAGACATTATATATTTTTAAATTGAGGAATTGATTCTGTATCAATAAAATGATATTTCTTTTGAGATCCTGGGTGTATAATCAAGTATTTTGATTCGAATAAATCGAGGAATTTATTTAGAAAATTCGGGGCGTTACACCTCAAGAAACATCAATGTATCTGAAAAGTCCTTTCATCCACGCCCCTATGGGAGAAACAAACAACCGGCGAGCTTTTCTCCAAAAGTAAAGCTATGCATTTTGAGGAAATCAACTGGAGTGAAAACTCATGGACACAAAACTGAACTCCGAACACGGAAATGAGGTTGTGCCAACAAAGTGACAAATGGGAAAGGATGAAAAGTGAATAGTGTTAAAAAAAATGAAACTGTAAAAATGACTCGGTCCTTAAAGGAACTTGTCAATCCAAAGGAAAGAGTCTCGGAAACCATTTTCGAGTACTCGAGATGACACTAAGTGATGAGTAACTGAACTCAGAAAAGAAAATTTAACGAAAAAAATTTATCTATAAAATTTCAGAAAAAAGAAAGTAAGGAAAATGACCGGGTCATTACAAAACTTTACCGTGACCTCATTGTGAAGCAAGTGGATAATGCTTTGACTTGGGCGTTTCCCTTACCTTATTTGATCACAAAAATGTTAAAGAAGAAGGGACTTAAGGTGCATAGGAATGAGGAGAAATTGGAGGATGTGTATCAGTACAATCTCACTGAATGGAAGAAGAGCCGCTCTCAATTGAAAAAGGGTAGACAGCTACGCATCGGTGATGACTTTTATTGGAATGATGTGAATATTCCTTTGGAGGTTGAGTATGTTGAACCTGCACCTGTCGGTCCACAGCCACCTGTCATTACTAGAGCAGAGGATGACTCTCTCAGTACCCAGCTTGACGCTCTTCAGCTGTTGGTCGGTACCATGAAGGGCACCCCTACTGAATTTTGTAAGGAGACAAAAGAGGGACAGCAGCTTTTACAGGCAATGATGCAATCAATTGTAGACCGTGGCGGTGCCGGTCTGGGTCCATCGTCTTCCACCTTTATGAAGGATTGAGCATTGTGTTGCTCTTTAGTTTTATTTAGTTTATGCTACTTATTTTTGCTTTGTGTGTTTTGAATAGTTTTAGGATTTGGGCCATGTTTGGCATGATAATTATGGGTGCACTTTTTGAGATGCACAATTATGATTTCTTCCCCGATTTTGAATAAAGCATGACATATTACTTCATATTTATATCTTTATATATGTCTATATTTTTATACTTGGTACCCAATTTTTGTGAACAAATTATACGGTCTAAGTCTGGGGGAGAGACATTTAGCTTTCTAAATAAGAATAGTTGCACTGAAGTTCATATCTCGCACTCAGTAGTTTCTCTCCTTTTTACACTTCCTTGCCTGATTAAATTTTTATATACTTGTTTTCATACATTGAGGACAATTTATAATATAAGTTTGGGGGTGTTGAGAGTTGCTATTTATTGCTATCTACAAGGGTATTGTTAAGTATGGTTGAACTATATATATATAGTTGATTTGTTTTATTGATTTGTTAAAAAATAATAATAATAATAATAAATAAATAAATAAAATTAATAATAATAATAAATATTGTATGTTTAGGCAATTGATTTTTGGTGTTCTTGAACTACGTTTGGGGGGAAGTCTATGTGATTAATACATTTTGTATGCTTATATAGGATATCAATGAATGATTGAAAGTTGCTAGCATGATTGTTCAAATGAAAAAGGCCCATTGCATGATTTAAATGTTTTATTTTGGAGTCTTTCACCTCTAAGTGACTTCACAATGCATATTGAGCACACCAGAAATTGCATTCATTTCCTTGTGATTTTACTTAATTGGCTCTTTAAATTAATAAGTCGGATGAATGAAATAATCCTTGGCATTGAAAAATTAAAAAAAAATAAAAAATAAAAATAAAAATAAAAATGAAATTAAATTAAATATAACTACATTATTTCAACATGTCAACTGATAAAAATGGAAGACAAGGAAAGAATGTAAGATGTATGATTAGTTTGACTTCGTAGCCTAACCATTCTGAGTCATTGCGCCCTTAGGAGTGTCCTTATACTTAGCGCCCTAAGCCCATCTGGTTTGGGAGTCGTTGGCTCAACGCTTGTTACATGGGGTGGTTAGAGAGCTTAAAGAACTTAGACATTGCAAATGGTCATGCATAATTTTTTTTTTTTTTTTTTAAAAAAAACACAAAATGTGTTCAAATAAATTCATGTCTTGGATTATGATTTCAAAAGATAAATTAAGGATGTGGAAGACATTGTATGAGCCATAAAAGGGTTAAAAGTGCATTTTAAAATAAAATGAAATTTCAGTTCATTTTTAAGGACTTTGAGATGAAATTCTATTGTAAATGAGATGTTAAAGATCATGTATGTAGACTAGTCTGTTGATGCATGAATGCTTGGAATTGAATACTATTTTGAGATATCATTGTATGCATACTTGTTGTAGTCTTCATGATAGAGTTTTTCTCCAAAGTCATATGTTTCAATATATACTAGAATGAGCCTTGTGCTTAGTGTTTGTGGGTATCATTTCTGGTAAACCCTCACGAGACTTCACTCATCCTCTAGGGATACTTAGGGGTTTAAAAGGCTTGTTGCATATGCTAAATGCAATCGTCACTCCCACGAAAGAGGAGAAATTTATGTTTCAATTTTGGTTTGCTAAAGGACTAGCAAATTGGAAGTTTGGGGGTCAGATAAGCGTCAAATATTGCATATTTAAGTGCCCTTAATTGCATTAGATAAGCCCTTTTAGTACCTCACGTCTGGACACAAGAATTGGCGTCCGGGCGCCAAACCATCAAGGCCTCGCGTCCGTACACAAGACCACCGGGCCCCATTTTAATTAAGTCTGATTTTGTTCTATCGTGAGTGGAAATTCGAATTTTGAATGAGTTATTATATTCTGAAACTCACGTAAGGATAAAATAGGGGGAAAGGCTTGAGAAAAGTCAGCTAGTTTTGGTTTTTGAAAAGAGATTATGAGGGAGATGATTATCTTAGGGTTTTTATGCTAAGCTTTGCAACGATGGTGAGAGAAGGGATTTTCTTCTCTTCTTCAATCTTGGAGGTCGCTGTTATCCATGAGAGGCTAATTCCCTAGCCTTCTCTTTATAAGTTCAATCCATTCTAATCACATTATTTACTGTTTTATGAAATTTAAATACGTAGGTTAAGTGATAAACCAATCGAACTATCGTCTCTACTATCAAATTAACTTTCGTTAATTTGATAATGGCCCCTCCAAAAAATGATAACTGCACTAATGATCCAGAATGAAAATATCTTCCAAAAATATTTTCTTAAAAACCCTTGAAATAAAATATCTCCAAAAGATATTTATGAAAAACATCCCAAGAAAAGAAAATATTTCTGAAAAACTATGCATCCATGCCCCTATGGACATTGGGAGCAACCAGAGTACTTTTCTACAAAAGTAAAGATATGTATTTCATGAAAACCACTTAGAACGAAGATACATGAAGTCAAATACTAAATTTGAACACGAAAGGTAAGGTTATGCTAACAAAGTGACAAACGAAGAAAAAAAGGAAAAGTGAATAGTGTCCAAAAAGTGAAAATATGGAAATGATTCGGTCCTTAAAGGAAGTTGTCAATCCATAGAAAAGAGTCTCAACTACCGTCCCCGAGAACTTAAGATGACACTAAGTGATGAGAAACCAAACTCAGAAAAGAAAATATCAACGAAAAAAAAAAAAAAAAAATCTGTAAAAATCTGAGAAAAAGAAAGGAAGGAAAATGATCGGGTCATTACAGTTATAGCATGTTATGTGGGATGCTTGGAGATGTACTCTGAAAATATCCTAGGTAGGCCTTATGTTTTGTTGAGACCAGATTTTGGGGACGAAATCCCTTTAAAGTGGGAAGGTTGTAATGACCCGGTCATTTTCCGTCTTTCCTTTTTTTCAGTATTAATTTTTTCACGTAACCTTAGGGTTTTTGAGACCTAAGGTAGGTCTTTTGAGTTCGGTTTTGTGTTCAGATTTGTTTTTTGACTTCATGTGCATGTATTACATTTGATTTTCATGAAATGTGTATCATTACTTTAATGGAAAAGCACGTTGGCTGTCCATGTATCCGTAGGGGTATGGATGCAGAGTTTCTTCAGAAATATTTTCTTTTCTTCAACTATTTTTCGTAAATATCTTTTGAAGTTATTTTGTTTCAGTGTTTTAAGAAAGCATCTTTTGGAAGATTTTTTTATTTTGGGTTATTTGTGCAGTTATCCTTTTGTAGAGATGCCTTTGTGCAATTAACGAAAATTAATGCAAAGTGTCACTTTTTGGGCTAGGATCCTCGTACGGGATTCCTTTTCATTGAGTCACGTACTCTTAGATTTACCTTCTAATCATTTTTCCCAGTTTTAGGGTTTTTGACCCTAGTAGTCGCCAAACTTGCTCGGGGCATATCTTTTTGCTCGAAACTTGGTTTTCGATACTATCTCTTCTGTTGTTCATTTTTTGTCATGGCGATACTTTTTGGTTCACGGTCTTTTTCTGTTTTAGTGCGTCTAGGCAGTTTTCACTTTTTGAGGCCGCACGGGGCTTGTTCAGGGGAATTTTTTGAAATTCTATAAATAGGGGAAGGAGAGAAAATATCATATTTTCCCTCACCCTCGCATGCCTTCCGCCCCTCTTCCCTCTTCCTTTTTTTTTTTTTTTTCCCTTCGCCGATGAAGGCTTTAATGTCGGCCTTGACGAGGCTTTCATTTCCATCCAACTAGAATCCGGTTTTGGCCAATTTTAAGTACGGGATTTAGCTTGGGTTTGGATTTGGGTGTTGCCGCAAGAGGACTTATCGTTCTCCTTTGTTGTCCCCGTTATAACCCCAAAGTTTCGTCGCATTCAGAGAGGTTCCATTTCTTTTCTTCTTCTTTTTTTCCTAATTGAAGGGAGAATATATATAAAAAAAAATAGTACATATAAACATATGAGGACATGCCCTCATAAGGGAAACAAACCAAGTCCTAAAAAAGGACAAAAACAACCTCAACTAAAAG